TATATCAAGCTCAATATTATTTCATTTCGAGTGTTGCATTTATTTTAGGAAGCGGCTAAGTACAATACTTGACTCTTTTGTTCCTAATAATCCATATTTATGGATTTTTTTTCTTTTTCACTGGAGGCTGTTTCTCTCTGTGTGTGTCAATGTTTTGGTTACAAGCACCCACCAGAGGTATAAATTACAGTAACATCAGATATCAGAACCTTTCTCCACTGTAAAGTTAAGAAGATATTTCACAGAAGATGAGTGACAGTGCATGAGCTGGTTGAACATACTGGGACAAGGTTAGACCGGACTGTAAGTTGTGTCATTCCATAAAAAATGCATATATACAGAGTGACAATGATGATGCAGAGATCATAGGAAGCTTAATTATCTAAGGAAATATAAAAGGTTATTAATATCAAACCTCTCATAGACTGATACTGGTTGTTGAGAACGTTTTGTTCACTTTACAAATTTAATGGGAATAACTCATAACTGTATTTTTACTTAGTTTTTTTTTTCTACTACACTTTTTCTTGAGTTCAATTGATTGATGAGGTATGGCTTAGTGAGAAGGTAAAAAAAAAGGATTTTCTTAAAGGGATGAACCTAAGGGATTTTTATTTATTATTTTGTTACTTCAATTTGATATATTATTTGAAGGATAATCTATAATAAACAAGTGTAATGTGATAAGATATCCCAAATGCACTCATTTTGCACAGATAGTTTTTTAACATTCTTAACTTATCTGTTGTGTCTTTTACTCTAAATAATATCAGGGTTTATTTATAGTACCTCCAAAACCTAAGGTTATACTTAATATTATCAATTTAACAATTAGGAAATAGCCAAATCTATTGGCATACAAGTGTATTAATAACCACGCTAAACCTTATATTTCACCTAAACTCTTTGGATTCTAGAGATTTTAATACAGCATAACATTATGTGCAATAATAAAAGAGTAATAGTGAAACAAATCTAGGAATAATGCATCAAGCCAATTGAATTCAGGTGTGATTAATCTATCGTCACATCAGATTTTATTAAAGGACCACTATAGTGCCAGGAAAACATACTCGTTTTCCTGGCACTATAGTGCCCTGAGGGTGCCCCCACCCTCAGGGACCCCCTCCCGCCCGGCTCTGGGGAGAGGAAGGGGTTAAACACTTACCTTTCTCCAGCGCCGGGCGGGAGCTGTACTCCTCCTCTCCTCCTTGCTCGCGACGTCATCGGCTGAATGCGCATGCGCGGCAGGAGCCGCGCACGCATCAGCCGGTCGCATAGGAAAGCATTTACAATGCTTTCTATGCGTGCTCTCACTGTGATTTTCACAGTGAAAGATAGCGCCTCTAGCGGCTGTCAATGAGACAGCCACTAGAGGCTCTGGAGGCTGGATTAACCCTCAGTATAAACATAGCAGTTTCTCTGAAACTGCTATGTTTATAAAAAAAAGGGTTAATCCTAGAGGTACCTGGCACCCAGACCACTTCATAAAGCTGAAGTGGTCTGGGTGCCTAGAGTGGTCCTTTAAGACACGGAGGCTCCTATTATGCTGCACTCTTTCTTTGTTTCCCTCAGCAGCAAAGAAAAATATAACATTCAAACGGTATGATAACAATAAATAGCATGAGAGGTATATCTTCCTAGCAACAGGAACAGCCAATCAGATTTCCCTCTCCAGCATAATAGGCAATGATGCGTAATCTATTTCCTCTTTCTTTGCTGCATCCTCACTTAAGTAACACCAGGTCCCAACGGTTTTCTTAATTGTGGGATCTTTTAAATCTTTTAAATGTATATTTAATAATATAGTTGATGTATTTAATTATACTATTACTTAATCTACAGTATTAATACATTAGTTTATTCTTGGTATATTTCTACAGTATTAATGAATTGGTTATTCTTGGTATATTTCTACAGTTGGTATATTTCTACAGTAGTATACATTTGTTTACTCTTGGTATATTGATTTGTATATTTCTTGATTTCTTGATTTATATTGTTTTATTTAAATTTGATTTAGCTATTTGTGTATTGCTTGTGTTCTGGGACCTCCCTGAGCGCAGTTTTATAAATAGGACTCAGGAACATCTTCAGGGGCTGTCTGTTCCCTGTTCAGCACTTTCGCTCAGTTCAGTTTTTGTGAGCCTGTTTACTGTTCCGAACTGCCATTCACTAGATTTGAACATGTGCAT